CTTCATTGTTAATAAAATAAACTTTTAATTTCTCATTATTAATATCAAATTAGCAATCATGGTACCTATCGTACCTGATTCTACTAATCCTACTCTACACTTTGATCAATCATATATATCTGTTCCACCTTTACACCTTTCGACTTATTACATATTTCATTGTCAATCTGCATTCCCATTACTAGATGCAAGGGCTCTTTGTAAACTATGTGACAATTGAATAAAGTTGTTTTCTTCCGAGCGTTTTAACGATTGCCACTTTTTCAGAAGCAGCCCATTATCGCAACATTTCAACTGAGACATCATATGTCCCCCTGAATTTTGCTTGCACTTAGATAAGTAATTTTGTTCTAAGCCAGCTTGTATTTTTGTTTTTTGTTTTTCTGCTACTAAAGTGTTTTTTTAATTAAAGTGAGGTACTAACAATACAGTATCTGTTAAACTGACCTTTTCTTTATATTTAGTATAAAATGCAGGGACAAAATTAAACAGTACAGATACTAGCTTTAATGTGTATTACAAGATGTCTGGAATGTTCAAAAATGATACAACGGCTAATCATAAAGTATTATAAGTGTTATTAAATGATAATTTGTTATGTTAGGTTTAGAAAAATATTATACTCACTGGTGTTTGCATAGGAGATAGCATTAATTATCTTAACAATTATCTATAAATATCCCATTGACGTTTCTCCACAAGACCATGTTGCCGTTTATCAAAATACCACTGACGTTTCTCCACAAGACTATATTAACATTTGTCATAATCAATCTAGTATTGAGGAGTAGGTGCGGCAAGAGTATATATATTGATAATTGAAATTAGAACTAAACTAATAAAAATTAAATAAAACTTTGATATCATTTCTTTCTTTTGCAAAAAGTGATTTAAAACAGAACTTTAAAAGATTGTGCTTTTAATACTATGAATAGTGGCTATACCCAGACTTATAATAATCTTTGATTACAGTCTGAACTATAAACAAAATAAGGTTTGTAGCAAAAAATTTTACTTTCGTAAATTAGTATACAAAAAAAATAATCGAATAACTAATTTGCGATGGCTCTGTCATTAATCTAGTTAATTAGTTAATATTAACAAATTATGAAGCAGCTAGAAATGCCACATAGTTGTTTAAATCAATATTAATATGAAGTGAAATATAGCTTACTATAATGCAATGATTATGAAATAACTTATTTATTTATCATTTATTTATCATTTATTTATTATTTGTTTATAGGAAAGGGTTAATTTTAGACATTGATAAATAGCACCATTTCAGCTATAAAATAAATACAAATTATAAACTTGAGATTTCTTTGTACCACCGATTTGCTTTGCAAATGCTTTATTCCAGCAGATCTTAATATACTAAATTTTAATTACTCATGCAACTGATAATTATTTACAAATAGAAATTCACTCACGGAATTTGAATGTACTAAAGGATAATAAATAAGTTGCGCTACATATATGCTACTCAAGATCAGTTTATCAAAAAAATCAGTATTATCATGTTTATCGAAGCGTCTATTGGTGAATTATGTCAGGCAGTTCTGTCTGGCTTACAAGTACTAAAAATAGATATTGCTAAAGAACTAATTTATTATTAATTTAAAATTACTTGCGAATGAACAGAAAGTCTAACATTCCGTGCAAATATGTTTCTAAGAACAATTGAATAGTATCAATCAACCAGGTTTCTTTAGAAACTTCCATTAAATAAATGTCATCATATTTTAATATTATATTTTGCCTAATCCTAACCCTAAACTACAAATATTGCTATTCATGGTAGAATTAACATTAATCTGTAACTTTGGTAAATATAACTCGATGATATACAAAAGTTACATTTTTGATGCAATATATTTATTAAAAATCAAGAGAGTAACTTCGAATTTTCAGGTGTGACAAAAGTTCAAAGTTACTCTCTTGATTTTAATAAATATATAATATCAAAAATGTAACTATTGTACGGTGTATAAAAATAGATAATCGATATCAGAAAAGTTGAATAATTGTGACCTCTAATTGATAGAACACCCTATTACAGGCAACAAATAGTAACACTAAAGTCACATGGAATACACCTTTTTAGAAGTACAGTATAACCATTCGGGCAAAAGGCCTTATTGGTCAGATGATCTATAGCACGTGATCCAATAAATTTTTTTCGATAATATACTGGTGGATCTACATTGTTTATATTACAAAATATAGTAATACTGTCATTATGTACAAACAGGATTTTGCTAAAGTTTTCAAGTAGTTTTCAAAAAAACATAAAACACCTGACAGAATTGAAGAAATAAGCTTATATAATTTCTTACTATTTTGTCAAAAGACTCTCGCAAAAAGATCAGAAACACTTAATTGGGAAGATAAGTCATCTGTGCACCAAGAATACTATAACAGAATTAAAAAGAAAATAGATAATAATTTCTAAAAGAAATTTTATCAAAATCATTATAATTAAATTTTTTTTTTTTT